ATTAAGGCACTTTGTCAAGATCATTTGAATAAATAAAAAAATAACTTATGGTAGGTACACAGTAAAAAAAAGCTTCACACTATAGGCTTCACTAGAGAACACTAGTTATAGCTTGAGCAGGTCCACTTTATTAGAGTTCAAATTTTCACCTTAAATTTAGTGTGAATTTTAGTGTTGTTTTAACTCTAGAGGTTGTACTCTTGTATTTGATTGAAAATTACTACACTAACCGTGTTCGGTAGCTCTCTAAAAGTGTTCACTTTGACACTAATTTATTTGCATTTATTTCACTCTTAGTGCGAATGCTATTCCTAATAGTGATGGAAATTTAATCTATCTAGTGTTTATCCTAAAACTAATAGATTTAAAAATTGTATACTAATATTGTGTAAGATTGGTGTCTGCAGTGCGCCCTTAGAGTTATATACATAAAATTTATTTAATGTCGATAAAAATGATATAATATATAATATAATATTAGTACATTAAAGACCAAGCGTAGAAAGCACTTATTATCGCTGATTATATATAATATAACAGATGGGATAGATAATAATAAAAAAGTCCTTTGTACATTTTAAGATTTGGTCAAGGCTTTTGATACCGTGAATCATAGAATATTGTTATTAAAATTAGAAAGATATGGAGTTAGAGGTCCTACCTTAGAGTTATTAAAAAGTTACCTAAGTAACAGAACACAAAAAGTAAGAGTTAATGGAATTTGTAGTGATTTATTGGAAGTTAACACTGGTGTTCCCCAAGGAACTATACTTGGTCCACTTTTATTCTTAGTATATATAAATGATATCTTATCCTTACTACCTAATGACTCCATATCTTCCTATGCTGATGACACAGTAATAATATGCATTAATGAAACATGGAACAAAGTTAAAATTCAAATGAATAATTATCTTATTATGGTAAGCAATTGGCTTGGTTTAAATGAATTATCACTTAATATTCAAAAAACTGTCTTCATCACGTTTGGATCATATACTGATAGTGTACCAGAGGAAATAAATATTAAAATCAATGAAAGAACTATACAGAGAGTGGAAAATTGTAAATATCTTGGCTTGATTATTGATAGTAGGCTCAAGTGGAATGCACATATAAAAAAATTGATAATTAGGTCTAAATATCTTGTTTACTTGTTGTATAAAGCTTCAAGATTTATGAATGCATATTCTCTAATGACATTGTACTATGCTTTTTTCCATAGCATTGCTACTTATGGTATTATTGCCTGGGGAGGGGCTTTTGGCAGTGCATTGGAGGGTCTGCAAAGAATACAGAATAGATTACTTAAAATTATTATTTTGAAAGATAAAGATGTAAAGATGCCTCTATCTATTAAAGAATGTTTTTTGCTTGAGACTATCTTAATAAACTATAAAAAACTCTCAACAAGTTTCAAAGAATCAAAAAGTACTACAAGAAATAAAATAATTTTTCCAACAATACGAAAAACGATAAAACTAAACAGTAATGAACTAGTGGCAATAAAACTGTTTAATGCACTGGATACAAATTTAAAAAAAATTGAAAAAAATAAAAATCATACAAAAAAAATATAAAAAAAAATGGATGAGTGATAATACGCACAAACTCCTAAATCTTCAAGTAATTAAAGCAAAGGACTTTACTGTGTACATGGTTGTTATATCTTCAAGAGACCCATGGCCTAGGCATAAAAAATTTGTTTAGATCGATTGGTCTAAATTTATATTATATATGGCCCAGGCCGCAAAAATTAATTATTTACCACTTTGGATGAATTAAAAAAATTGACTTCTGTCAGATTTATCTAATCTTACGTCTACTTTTAATAATTGTATGAACGTTTATTTATATTTATATATAGATAATTAAACGAGTTATATTTTGTCACGTCCGTAATCAAACAACGATTCTTATTTTTTGTAAATAAAAAAAGAATTTTTAGTATATTTCGGCATAAAAAACCAAACCATATGTCAACATCACACTATCTAAAAATGAAATTTGTCAAAAATGACTAGTTACTACAGTTTTAGTGGCTGCTTTTTCACGTATACCGTGGTGACCATGGGATATCATGGTATCTCCAACATTTAACAGTCAATTCTTATGTAAAATTGTCCCCTGAATCCGAAAATACCGTCAAAAATTTTAAAATTAGGGCAATTTTTGAGATATAGTCAATTCCATATTATATGGAAAATTGACTATATATAATACCTATCCGAATATAATATATATACATTATCCGAAAATGTCGTCAAGAGTCAGAAAAGTAGAACAGTTTTTGATATATTATATCAAAAACTGTTCTACTTTTCTAACTTTTGCCGATATTTTCGGATTCAGGGAACAATTTTACATGAAAATTGACTGCTAAATGTTCGGGATACTGCTATTGACGAGAATTATTAGTGGCTACTTTTTCGCTATGACAATTTTTGACTAATTCATATTTAGGAACTATACTCTCTAAAAATGAATTAGTTAAAAATGACTGGTTTTCAAAGTTAAAATTCAACACTAATAACTGTAGTCCACAGCGGTTTGATCTGGGACATTTAATAGCCAATTCTTATGTAAAATAGTCCCCTGAATCCGAAAATATCGTCAAAAATTATAAAAGTAAAGCAGTCTTTAAGATATAGTCAATTCCATATTATATAAAAAATTGTATATATCTCAAAAATTGTTCTACTTTTTTAACTTTTGACAACATTTTCGGATTCAGCGGACTATTTTGCATAATATGACAATTAGTCCTTTAGGCCTAAATTAATTGTTTATTTTTAAGTTAGTGTATCAATGCAATAATAATTTTTTGTTTCAAATTAAATTGTCTTTCAAAATTGTAAAAATATACAGGGTGTCCCGGTAAAAAAATATATTCTTAAAATTATTTTGGAAACCCGACGTTTAATTGTTTTTCTGTTTTTAAATTTAACCGACTCCAATAATAACGGAGTTAGCAATGGTGAGCAGATAACTTTGGACACGGTGTATACAAGTATACATTGTTAAACTATAGGTTATATAGGCTATATAGCTATATGGCTATAGCCATTCAAAAGATACCTATCTAAGGTCAAAATTTAATGAGTCTTGAAGAAAGATTTTTTTAGTGAGATACAAATAGTTTTTCTTTAGACTAATGTAAAAATAAAAAATTTCAAACGAATCTCCCTAATTTTTATACAATCAATCCACGTATACGTTAAGGCTACCTCATACTGTAGCCCCAACTTTTTTTATTAGCTCGGCTTCAATGACAATTAACTCCTTTGTTTTTTTTTACAAAGTTGGTATCTATCTCATTTAATTTTGGTATACCAATTCATGTACGGTAGCCCAAAGTTTATTCTGGTTACCTATTAACTTTTGGTGTATGATGCCTGCTTTGTCGCGGAATTTGATATATATATGTGTGCATTCATACATGACATGTATTAATAGTATGTATTTCTTTGAAAAAATTAAACAGATTTTTATAATATTTATAAAGTTAGCCAAATTTTTATATAAATATCATATTAGTTATACTTTTCCTTCCTTTGTCTACAAAGTTTGAAAATGTATATTGATTAAATGCATATAAATCCGGTTAGAATGTGACTGTCTTGTTAGCAAGTCTCGGTAAAAACAACGCTCATTAATTTAGATAATTACAAATAAGAAACACTTCGAATTCAATTATAGCTCTTTTTATACCCAATTGGAAGGCATCTAGTTTGTTGTTTTCATTATGCAGACATCATTTAATTTAATAACAGGGTGCTATCTGCGATGGATCCGTTTCATGAGACCGAATTCACTTGTTCGAAAAGAACAACTTGATTTTATTAGAATACAAGGCAAAAATTAGTAATGGTAATGGTGTAATTTTGAATATTAAATTACCAGGTACGTTCTACATGCAAAGAACTGTAAATTAAAAGAAATAAACGCTGTTAAAATGCCCAAAGAAATATTTATATTTAAAAATTTATAAATTATACGTATACGTGCAAATTATCGTTAATTATTTTATTTATTAACAATAAATTTGTCAACATTTTTAACTTTGCATGAATGGGAAATAATAAATCAATTTTGCATTTTTATGACAATCTATGCCTATATATAAATTAAATTTTAATATTGATATAATGCGTAAAATAGTATTTTAACCTTTTCAATATTTATTGTGGGTTTTTATTACTCTGTTGAATGCAAATTAAATTGGTTTGAATACGGTTAAAGTATTTGTTTATGCTTAATCCATTTACGTGGCAGCTTTATAATTAAAACTAAGTTAACGTAATAAGGTGAGGTGAGTTAACTTTTTGGGTTTTATGCAGGTAAGCTTTTTAGAACCTGTTTTGAATTAACAATTATCAAAGAGTGTAAACCTTCACTGAGTCTTTACGCTTATATTTTAATTATTTAACAAACTATCTAATTAATTTTATATTCACTTACCTGCGAAACTGAATTATAGATTAAAACTTTGATAATTATCTGGATAATGTTTACCTTTACCTACCTATAGGTATATTTACTCGATTAACGATTTAAAGTTAAGTTTGTCGTGGGATAATTAGAACAAAGTTTAGTAATTTAAAATTCTAATTTAAAAAAAAAATGTGTGTTCACATTGTCTGTGAAAGAAGTAAGGCAGGTATTTCTTGGAAATATTCTGTAACTATTTAAACTGTATCTTGTTATGAAGGAACTCTGTAATTACGGTATACCCTAATTATAGTCCTACATTGCCATTAAATAATTTTCGAATATCTTGTGCTTGTATTAGTTGTTTACAAAGGAATCTAGAGGCATATTAAATTTTAATTTTGAAACCAAATAAAAAATCTTGAATTTAAATTTTTAAACATGGTTTTGGTTTTAATACTTACTTCGTGGCATGCTTCTTTTTGATAGATAATATTTTGTGTTTATTTTTTATAAGGAAAACAAAAAACCAGAATATTAATTTATTCATGTCTTTTATTAAAGTCACTGTATAAAAAGGCATTGCTATGTTAAGTAAACAATCGAATTTCATACACTCAGGGTATAAAAAGTCTGTATATCAGTATTTACAATTGGCAAGTAAAATTATCGAAACTAAAGTAATAAATATGAAAGTATAAAAATTTATATATGTACAAGTAAGTTTTACATTGAGTTTGACTATACTTAGCTATACAAGTACGTATTTACATCAGTTAAGTAGTAAGTTAGACTCCGCCATCGGGTCGGAGTAGCCTGGGTTCTCTCCACGCAATCTATTACACTTGCACACAGGTCAGTCAGTCGGCTGCACTTTCTGCGGCTTCTTCAGGTGCTCGGCTCCATTCACACTTCCCAGGCTTGACTATCACATCCGACACTCGCATTGCACTCACAGTCTGTTTATTACGTAGTATCACAATTGGCTGACATTAGGATTATTTTCTATTTCTATTATTCACACTAACAGTCTCTAATGTTTGATTCGTTACTGTCATATGTGTATCGCAACTGTTCGTTGGCCGCCGCCTCCTCCGCCTCCTGGCGGGTTGGGCGCCTGGCCGCGTGCACTGTGCCGGTGCACGTGGTGGTGTACGTGTGGCCCGCGAATCGACCCGTGATGACGTTGCTGGTGTTGAACGTCCGGCAAAGCGTACTTTAACTTTTCCCAAAACATTTTGTCGCCCCACTGTAAATAAACGTTCGTTTTGAGATAGAGTCTGATATCAGGATCCAAGTCTTTTTGCGGCACTTCGCCCAACAAGACGACTATTAAACGCCTTCTTCTATCACGCAACACTTGATGATGAGCTGATTTAAACTCGAACCGGCACCACTCAGACTTTATAAAATTCTCAGACAAAATCATTATAGTTCTTTTTGAAGATTCCACCGCTTGAACAATCGTGTCGGCTAGAAAAGCACCCACGGGAAAGTCTCTATAGTGTAAACAAAGTTTATAATTGGGTTCCAAGGCAGGAGCCAACACTTCAGCCACCCACGCCTCATCTTTAGAACTGTAGCTTACGAAAGCGTCGAACAGTTTATCTCTGTCATCGCGATCCAAGTCTGATGACCTTTGGAACAAACGCACACCGAACTTTGAATGACACCAAACGCGCACCTCTTGTCTAAATATGAAGAAAAATAAGGTTAAAATCACTATGACCGCAAACACGGCTAATGTTACAACTAATAGCGGCAAATAGTCCTGAATAACCTGTCTTTGAATTATTGTTTTTGTCGCTGTTAGATTTCCATTTATGCTGTTGTCTATGCTAGCTACGCCCGTACAACTTGTACCGTTTTCTTGAACAATATAAAAACCAATTTGAGGATTGTCCATGTAGATTTTTTCACTGTAGTAATTTATGTCCGAAGTGTTGTATATGCATCTGATACTGGTGGAATCTACCACAGCATCTCCTCTTATCACCCATTCGCGCATTCTCTCGGCAAAGTCGCATTCACAAGACCATGGGTTATATGCCATTGTTACTTCAATAAGTGTGGACGGCAAAATCCACATGTTATACATATTCATTCTGTTGTGATCCAATTTCAGTACTCGTAACTGTTTCAAACCGTTAAAAGTTGTATTACTTATATGAGAAATGCGGTTATTTTGTAAAAATATTTCTCTCAAACTATCGAGTCCATCAAATTCATGACCGTGTAATTCGGCCAATCGGTTCCCATCCAAATGTAGCACTTCCAATTCTTTTAGGCCATTAAATGTGCGGTTTTGAATGGACTCTATGTTAGAATTGTTTAAAAACAGAATTTTTAGCCGTTTTCTTCCAATAAACGCGTGACTGCTTAGAGACCGCAAATCGTTTCCATCCAAGTATAGTTGGGTGGCATCCATTGGTATTTGATCAGGAAGTTTAGCAATGTATCCGCTGGAAGAGCAGTCGACCACGTTAGCGGACCATGACTGGTCGTGATAGCAGGTACAGTTCATGGGGCATGTCATTTCACAATCACAGGCATCGAAATCACAACAGTGACACAGGGCGAAGCAATGTGTCTCGTATGTGCATAAAAATTGATAAGGAGCAGCCTCGACCAAGGGAACATATGTGCGGCCCCGATTATATAAAAGTTGGCAGTTGATACTCTCCAGGTCAACGAGCTTTGGTTGAGTACGCGCACGGTTACCAACGTTGACTTTCTGCAACCATTCCATTGTGCAGTCGCACTGATACGGATTTCCTCCGATATAAAACTCAGGTAACGGCTTGTCCGGTGGCACAGTTGATATTCGCAGTGAATTTGGATCCAAGCTGGTTATTTTGTTGCCAAATAAATCCACTCGCGTTAAGTTGGGCTTCTTGAAGAATGTGTACGATTGTACTTTCGATATTAAGTTGTCATTTAAAAATAATACCTCTACACTGTTGGGAATGGCACTTCCTGTAATTTCGGTTAGTTTGTTCGAGCTTGCGTCAAATGTACTTAACGACAAAGTCGATTCGATTTCGAAATAATTTCCCAACTCCTCGATTTGATTTGAATGAATGTCCAGCCATTGCAATCCTGTTGGAATTAACGCATAATCAAACCATTTTAATTGATTGTCGGATATATTTAACCACACTAGACTTGGCAGTTTAGCGAATAATTCTTCAATGTCAGTTAAATAATTTCCATCCAGTCTTATCGCTTGCAGGTTGATATTTGCTTCAAAAGACCCCGGAGCAACTTTTTGTATTTTGTTTCTCGATAAATTTAAAATTTTTAATGCAGTCATTTTGTCAAACACCCCCTTAGTTATGTTACCAATATTATTTTCAGTCAGTCTTAAACCAAACAATTGTTTTAAATCGCCAAATGTTTCGTTGGTTATCGAATCAATTAGATTTTCTCCTAGATCCAATGTTTTTAATAACGGTACATTGTTTAATACTTCTGGTACTTGTATTAGTTTATTACCGTTAAGATGCAAATCTTGCAAACTGGAGCAGTTCTTTAAAGCTTCCGGATTAATCCGAGAAATTCTGTTATTATCTATCGACAATAAAGATAGTACGTAAAGGCCATTGAAGGTGTCTGCTTCAATTTTTGTTAGTTTGTTGTTTGATATTATTAGGGTGTGTAGATTGTACAAGTCTGAAAAAATATTTCCAGGAATGTACTCTATAAAATTATCGTTCAAGCGTAAAATTTGTAAACTGTACAAGTCTCTAAATACCGATTGCTCTAGTTTATTAATCCTATTATGTGAAATGTCTAAAACTACAAGTCTCACAAGTCCTGCGAAGGTTGAAGTATTTATCCAGTCGGCTGTTAATTCATTATGTGATAAGTCCAAAACAAGTAGTTGCGTAAGTTCACTAAATAAACCGGGTGCCAACACATTTATGGAATTGTTCTGTAAATACATTTCGCGAATGTCGTGCGTGTCGGCGAATAATTCCGGGGGCAAATTAACTAGCCGATTATCTGACAGCTTTAAAATATTTAGCGCACCAAGTCCCTCAAGAGCCCTGTCGGCCAAATGCGAAAGACCGTTGCCCTGCAAATATAACTTTTGCAATCTGGACAATCCTGACAGTTGACTGGAAGGTAATCTATCAATGTTATTTTTTGATAGATCTAACAGTTTTAAGTTTGTGCCGCATTTTTCCGATGGGCCGTTAGCACTAAATTGAAAAGTCGTTATGTCCCTGAAACGATTTCTTGTCAAATTTAAAAGTTCTAAGGAATACAACGGGCATAGAACTCCTTCTGGAAAATTCCATATGTTATTTTCTCCGAGATCTAGCCGTTCTAGTAAGCGTAATTCTTCGGAGAATGCATTCGGCGACACCTCAAGAGTCATCGCAGACCAGTCAGTATTGTGAGTACGCACGGTAAGATTTCTCAGCTCTTTAAGTCCTTTAAACGCACCGTCCGACAAATTGCCGATCTTGCAATACTCGATAACGAGCTCGCGTAGCTCCACTAAAGGTTTAAAACTGCCGGCACTTAAGGAACTTTGAAAAAACAGTGCATCACTACACTCGAGTCTCAAACGCACAGTATGTTGCGGTTGTATCACGCTGAAATTGGTGTTTTCCAGTTCGCTGTTGATGGTCCTCAGCCGACAGACGAGGGCTACGTCGTCTTCGGTGCCGCTGTCCACCACGACCCATTTGCACTCGTCAGGCGCCTGGTAGCGCAGGGCCTTGCTGAGGGAAGTCGACACACAAACTCCGAAGATGGCCCCGAACAATATCGCACACACCACGGTGGTGCCCATTTCTAACTAGAACGTTAACTTTTCTTGTCGCTACACCATTGTATGCAGCAGAGGCGATGTCTTGTAGCATGCCGCGTCTTACTCGCTAGCAGTTCGTTGCTTGACTGCTGCAGCCGTTCGCACAAGGCCACGGACTCCTCGCCACCGCCTCCCTCCTCGGTTCAGCTATCTGCTTGCTGGCTGCTTGCTTGTGCTGCCTGCCTGCATTGCTGGCAATGTCCCCCCGCTCTTAACAACACCGACTCAACCTAAGAATAGACCGAGTCGGTGGCATTCACAAAAAACTGTTAACTCGAACCGCGTTTTTTTACATAAATGTCGGGTTTTCTATCTGATCGCCTGTTGAAATCACTGAAGAGTATCTCGCCTTATGTTCCTCTTTTCGTTATTTATTTCTGCTTTATTTTTCTCTTAACAAAAGATCAACGAATTAATTACTTTTTGCAGACAAATTAAAACAAACACCTTTTTTGTTAAAATTTGTGCTTTTACCTACATTTAATAAAAACAGAACAAATTGTTGAATTGCAAATTACGCATGATGTTAAATATAAACAAAAAATATTATTATTTTAAAATGTAAATGTATAAATATAATAGTGACAGTATAATTACTTATTGACTGTCAAGCTAACATTTTTCAAAATAACAAAATCAAATTCTAAAATGTATATTAATGAACTGTTTGGAATTCAAAATGTTGTTATAATATATTATATAGGTATAAGAAATTGATAAAGGAAGGTACCTACATTTTGTGCTGATTTACCTTTATAAAGGCATTTCAGTGGATATTACAATAATAAGGTTGTATTTAACTGGAAACTTACATACATATTATGTATATTAGCCGTAAAAAATATTTAATAAATTAAATAAATATTAGGACTTGCAAGCATCCTTGAACAATTTTTTGTTCTTAGAACAGCCAAAATCTTTATTTGGAACCACATATATCTATTGCGGTTTGTAAATTGACAAAATCTCTTTAACTTATATTTCTAGGTAAACAATCAGAAAAGCATCATATTACACCATAATTTATAACACAAGTTTAAGATTTTCCTAACCGCAAACATCCTTTGGAATTTTTATTAACTATTAACTATTTGGTAAACTACCTACTTCACAGGCACTACCTTATTATTTAACAAGCCCCTTGCTTACATGCACCTATATATAGGTAAATATACCTATATAAAAATTATCTGTGTCACTATAAGGACACAGATAATTTTTATATATATACCTATAATAATTTTTATATATATATACCTATAGGTATATAACTATAGTTATTATAATAACTATATATTGGGCATCCAAAAATATTGTTAACATAACCACAAGGGTAAAAATTAGAAGGTTACAAGACTTGAATAATTTGCATTTTTTGTATTATAATATAACTGCTTTTTATTGACAATCCAATATTAACTACCTGAGTATCGTATTTTTTCTATAGCAAATACAGTGCCGTTAGTGCTTATTTTGAACCCTCAAAATAAAAAGTTTATGAAGAAGTTACTCTCTTAAAATGAATTAGTCAAAAATAACTAATTATAAGTCATATTTGACTAATTGTCATAGCGAAAAAGCAGTCACTAATAATTAGTCAAATTCCACTGAATGAAATAGTTAAATTAGTAAATTTAAATTTAAAAAAGTTTTGACTCAGCCTGGGATTGAACTCACGTCTGTCACTTGAGAAGCTTGTCAACCTAACCTCATAACCAGTCGGCTGTCAGCCGCTCTTATAAAAATAAATTTTATTTGTCAATAAATATTGTTCATAATATTCTAAAGTTTAATATATTATTTGTGTTACTCTTTTGAGCTAAACTTTTTGCATCTTTATTTGTTTTATGGGTCATTTAACCATGGAGAGGTATATGCATTTAATTCAAATAATACTTTGTTGTTGGCCGTAAACGATTAAAGAAATTAGTTACTTTTAACTGTCAGAAATAGTCAAATATGGTGACTAATCTTAAATTAGTCAAACTTTAACTATTTACGTAGTAAAAAATAACTATTTAAAAGTAAAAATGACTATTTTATTAGTAAAAAATGCTGGTACTAATTCAAATAGTAGAATTTTGACTATTTAATTTTTAGAGAGTGCAACTTGTTTATAAACTTTTCTAGACACTCATTAATTTAAGCACTCGCTCGCAAGTTCGCTCGTGCCTAAATTAAATTCGTGTCTAAAGTGGCGTTTATCAACCTTGATACATAATATACTACTTTGTTTCACAACTGTCTTAAAAAAGTGACTTAAATTAGACAATAGAAATCAAGTAATACACTGAAAGAAATGTGTTGCTAAAAGTAAATACAAATTTATACTAAAAATTTTATACTAGTGCTTTACACATTTATACTACTGTTTATTATGAATGTATGTTAAATTTTGTAATACATTTATTGTAAAGAAGATATGTTAGATCTAAATAAAAATAAACTTACCCTTACTATAAAATGTAAACTATATGTGAATTACAGCAAAAAAATATTGCTAGAAACACATTTATATTGCTAGGGCAGCAATAGGCTGCTAACCAAACGAATATATTTTTTTTAGCAATGTATGTGGTAGTCCATATATGAAACATAAATTATTTTTTTATTTAACTTTAGTATATATTTCTTTCAGTGTATTAGTTAGTAGATATATTCATAAAGATGGATTTTCTCTATGAAACTGCATACAGTAGTCAAAAAGACGTTATCCATTTCAGCAAAAAGGAGCAGCAGCAGCAAAAGTAGCAGCAGCATCGAGAGCGTGTCGGCATCGGCAGTAATTCCATTGAAATATGAATACCCATTACGGCTATCTTAACCGGCCTATTAATTTGCTTTATTTAGTGTGGGGATGTTTTAATATTCTCCCAAAGATGGCTTTTTCGTGTAGCAGGATTCCACGGGCTCGTTATTAATTGGGCAATAACGCGTCTAGCACCGGACCCGCCGTGTTTTATTGACCGGTCCCACTCTCTCTCCACATTCGCGGCCCGTCTCTTCTTCTTCTTCTTCTTCTTCTTCGTCATCGTCTTCTTATTTCTCACTTTCGGTCTGCCGTCGTCGGTTTCGATGCGGCACATGTTTTTTTCATTAATAAAGGTTGTATACTTCAAAGTCAAAAAATACTGCAGAATCGTTTTATAAAACACCTCACAACATTTAAAAATAAATAAAAAAATTAAAACTGATCCGTGCACTACACTGTTCAAAATTTCATGACCATGTTAACACCAAATTAACACCATATATGGTCTATATCGATACAAACCAAAATGGTGTTAAATAGGGTTCGTTGGTCCGGTGTAAATTCAAATACTAAAATAGTGTTAATTTAACTTTCACACAGTATTAAAATAAATTTTACCTGGTGTAAATTGAACTCCTTTTCAGTGTTAAATATTATGTGTTTGTGGTCAAATTAAATCATACAACACAGAAAAAAGGAAAAAAAAGGAAACAGGAAGTTCCTTGACGCATTACTAGTATATTACCAGTGGTATTATTCCAGAAAATGGAACCTTCAACTCGCTAGAGATAATGTTTTTAGTTCGTTCCACTAACTTAAAATACTTCAAGTATTGACAGCTGTTTCCACCTATTTAAGGTCTAGTATCGAACAACTTGTAGTGTTACACCAAAGCAAAGGACTACCTGAGCTTATATATTCTTCATGTAAGTCAACAGAGGCGAGATTTAAGAACATCACGTGATCCACAAAAAAATAAATACTTTTTTTCTGTGTAGGTGCACTTCTAAAATATTTTTAGATAAACACCGTTTTGGTGTTCATTTTCAACCATAATTCATGGTGTTATATTAACACCACTTGGTGTTGGATTTTGACACCATTTTAGGATTACTCTTTACACCACAGATATTTTAAACAGTGTACTACAACTCCGAGCTGCGGATCCCTGTATCTCTATCTGGTTTAACAAATTTAAAACTGATTCGTGCACTACTACAATCCGAGCTCCGTATCCGGATCTTAGGGCCTTGATATTAAGTCCAAAAGTGTAGTGGACGACAGGTAGATAACCTTGTAACTGTTGTCAGTATGTAATTTTTTATACCTATACCTATTTTCTTTAATTTAATATTTGTGTGTTGCTAAACTAATATCGCATCCCTAATAATAAAGCTTTACTAATTGAATTCCTAATTGTAAGATATATAAAATACATGTTATTTTTAATTTAAAACGACTATTAACATTTTTTAAATTAATAAATAATAAAAACCGTTTAAAAATTAATTAAAACTCATAAAATACACACAAAAAATATGGTCACGGTTTTTAATTTAGAATCGAAGATGCTTAAAAACTTGTCCCAATTAGGTATGTATTACCGGAAAAATTAAACCATATGCTTCATCAATTATATAAAATTGTCACTTAAAATATTTAAGGCGATTACCTTGAGATTATTTTTTTATTAAAATATAAATAACTTTATTCTGAAATCTTTAATCACAGTTAACTTGACGTCTTAATTAGTTTTCAAATATTTAAGTGTTGCTAAGCGCTAACGCGTAAATAGTTATTAGTGTGGGCAAAATTAAATTAATCATCTTATTAAATATGCTAAAAATGACTTTATGCATATTAAAGTCTTAATATATTTTGGTAGGTAGTTAACAGCTTATTTAATAGGTATGCAAAATTAATCATATTTAAAAGAATAAATTTATAATTTTTGAGTGTTTTTTATAACTTCTACTATGGTAGACTTGGAAAGGTGATATTTTGCGAACTGTCACTTACTACCAAAACACACGTGAGGGCAGTGTCGTAGAAACAGGGGTTGCTTAAGCTTTTTGTCCCATACAAACTTTGAGGTTAGGTTTTTTTACCATTTGATGCAATTTTTGGATTACTCAGTTCGCCTACTATTAAAAAGGTGTACCTCTCAAACTTCGATAAAATAAACCGTTTCCAAGATTTTCGAGATTACAATAATTGTTATATGGCATTAAAGGACTTAAAGGTGTATGATAACAAATTTTTTAATTGAAAAAACTACAATTTTTTTTAATGTAACGGTCAGGGTAAAAAATCCCGAGGCTCATGGAATGCCCTTTTTAGTTTTTTCTAT